AGAAAACCACTGGGTGAGAGACGGGGGACACCCTGGACAGGTCTCCAGTCCATCACAGGGACACAGAGACAAACAACCATTCACTCTCTCACTCTCACCTCGGGACAATTTAGAGTTACCAATCAGCCTAACATGCATGTTTTTGGTCTGTGGGAGGAAACAGGAGTACCCGGAGAAAACCCACGCATGCACGGAGAGAACATGCAAACTCCACCCAGAAAGGTCCCAGGCTGGGATTTGAACCGGCAACCTTCTCGCTGAGAGGCAGCAGCTCTACCAACTGAGTCACCCATTCCAATAGCCAATAAAAAATGTATTTTTAAAATAAAATATTTATCATTTTTAGGGGATGAAAAGTTAAAGATTGTTTTGAAACTATGAAATTTAACTACATTTGCACCAAAATCAAGAAAGAAAGGATAAGTAATTTCAGATAATTGTACTTTTTTTGTTTAAAATGGTTTAATTTATCTAATAAAAGTATCTGAACGCGTTCACTTTCTCTATGATGTAACTTGAAGTGACTTTTGCTGTAAAAATAAACTCAACTAGGACATTTTAAATTTCTGTTTTCCATGAACAAGTCGTAGCAGTGCTACTTCCTAAAAAGAAAACTTGTCTCAACCTGCACGATGGAATATATTAGGTCATGTGATTATTATTAACCTTTATTATTACACAGAGAATAGAAATCTGCAGTCTGATCTTGTAGCAGAACAGAACCTGCAGGTTTGTTTGTTAACAGCTCAGGAACTTTAGCTCTTTGTCAGCAGCTGTCGTCAGGTTGTAAATGATTAAATTTCCATTTTTTAGAGCATTTACGGCTCTTTAATCATGTCTCAGGCAAAGTCTGAACTTTTAATGGGGACGTTGTCCTCTAAATATGAGTAGTGTTCACATTTTAGAGGTCTGAAAATAATGAATCTGTTTCCGTCAGTTTTACCAGACAACGCTGACTGAAGGAGCATCTCACTTTCTCTTCGGAGACTTACAAGATCTTTTTGTTCCTTGGTCACGTCAGGTCTGTGTTTTGCCCAGACTGCCTCCTGAATGATTCCTGTTTGCAGTCACATGTGTCTGAGTGTCCCTGCGAGTGGGAAAAGTCTGAAACCTCCTCGTCCCAGGCAGCCTGCAGCCCTCGCTCCTCTTTCTCCTCCTATTTGCTGCAGCTTTAAATGCCACAGGGAAGCTTCCTCCTTGATGGCTTGCGATAAAAGAGAATGATATCATATTTGACACCTGCAGTAAAGTGGTGGAACTTCAACCTTGAGAGCCAACTCCCTCAGTGCATCGTAAAAATGAAAATGTCTGCGACAGAGTCGAGGTGCAGCCTCACACCTCCCCGCCATCACTCCTGTTTATTAGAGCACTCGCATAATTATGTCTCTCCATGAACTGAGTTGACTAAGTGAACTTTTCACACATTTCTCCTTTTATTTTTGTTTCTAACAATGAAGTATATTTTAATACTAATTGTGTTTATAGTGGAAAAATGTCAAAGCTCAGTTTTTAACATTCAAACTAACATTTAGAAAGTCCTTTGATGGGAGCTCTTTTATTGACTGAATAAATTTGTAAAAAATCTGATATATTATTTATAACTGCAGCTTTTTGGTTACAGCCTGGTTCATTTAATTTTGTAGGATAGTTTGAAGCACGGGGGGGGGGGAAGAAAATTTAATGCTGCATAAAGTCAGAAACATGGGAAGGTACTACCATTCTGGTTTTGTATAAATTTAGCACAAAATGTTAGGAAATGTGTGTTAGTTTGATCATTTTTAGTTGTGACAGTGATTTTTGGATGAGATACTATGCTGTTTGTTCCCCCTTTAATAGTTCCACATTTGTCAGGAAAATGTATTCATGGGTTTATCAGCAGAGCTGAATATGAGTTGTGCCCATGAAAAACTTGCCAAATCTTCAGTGTCTATGCCAAAATGCTCATTCTGCTATAAATACTTTGGATTGGACGATGAAGATCTGATAAATAAGACATATGGGCAAATGAGTAATGTATTCATTTATCAAACGGGACCACAGTAAATGGACTGTACTTATATAGCACCTGTCTTATCCAGATACTCAAAGCGCTTTACAGTACAATCTGTGCCCTCGTTTACCCATTCATACAGCTCTATACTAGATCTATCCAAAGAATAATCAATGCTTTATCTCATTCATTCATTCAGGCTTTATTGATACAGGTTAGTCCCACTGAGCCACAAGGACTCATTTACAAGAGAGACCTGAATACACGGATGCGACACGCATTGGAGGCAATGAGGGGTTCAGTGTCTTGCCTGGGAACACTTCAGCATGTGACTGCTGGTGGAATCAAACCGCCAACTCTTGCACAGCAAGAGTAACCCACATAGTAGCATGTGGAAGAACCATACACAGCCACAACAATCTGGCACCACAACCTTTATTCACCAATTTTGGACACACATTTCTGTGGGAAGCGCTGAGGGACTATGTTTCTCGGCTGGCCTGGGAACGTCTTGGGATTCCCCCGGAGGAGCTGGCCCAAGTGGCTGGGGAGAGGGAAGTCTGGGCCTCCCTACTTAAGTTGCTACCCCCGGATAAGTGGAAGAAAATGGCTGGATGGATTTCTGTGGGATACGGTCCCATTCTTCAACCTGCTTTTGGCACATAAATGTTTGAGTTTCAGGTCAGGACTGCTGGGAAGGTTACTTCCCAAATTCTGGAGGTAGTTTATAATTAATTCTGGTATAAGAGTGCTCTCATCTTGGACGACAGAGTATGTCTCCAGACTAGAGATGTGGAATTGCCACTTGCTGCTGAGAGATGCTGAGAATCAGGCACCTTATTTTAGCACCTGGGGTACCAGAAGCTCAAAACAAGAATCAGTAGCTGTTTGATAACAGTAGAGATACTTTGGCAAGTTTTCATGGTCACATCCCAGATACCACATACTCAACTCCGCTGCTCAACCCACAAATGCATGTGGCACCATTTTAGGGGAAATAAACAGGCATTCCAATGATATGATCGATTAGTAAGAGGCATTATTACAACCAAGGAAAAGTCACCAAACACATATTTCCTTACTGTTTGTGCTATATTTATATTTTTTACCTGAGAAAGCACCACCAACCCCACCCACCCACACACACACCCACACTTAGTGATGTTTATTTAACTTGTTCACATTCCAGCATACAGAATGCTGTTTTGACATTTTTAGCCACTGGCAGTAAAGGCGTCACTGTCTTTTGGCTCATAAGTTCTGGGACAAGCTTTTATGGATTAACCTTTAACAAACTGATGGAAAGGCTGATGTGTGGAAAAAGAAAGGCTCTGCTTTTAAGATTGGCTCATTGATTTTCTTTCATTTATTTTTATAGAAGTCCACAGAAACATTTAAAGATAAATGCCGTCAAACTGTTGGATTGTTGTTCGTCAACCCTAAACATGCATCCAAACTAACTGAGGAGTTTGTCGAGAAGAAGGAGCGAAAAGTTTTAGATGGTTCTCTTTAGACTGAAAGCTCACTGAGCTGAATTTTATTGAACCAAGATGAAACTAAAAGGAGAAACTCATTGAAACAAACACTCAAAGAGACTAAACAGAAAAACCGAGGAAAGCTAACAAAATCAGATTGTAAAAGTTTGGCGATGCCAGACCTAAGGGTCACTTCACACTGGATGATGACCCTGCTGGGTCTCCACAACATGCACTTTCTACTAGACTGTGTGAATCTATCACGCTCTATCAAACCTAATAGGGAGCCTGCTGTGTTCCTAACACACGTCTGTAGACCTCGCTAACACCCTGCAAAGACCACCCATGTTCTGGAATATTCTTTTTAACATCGTAGTGGGGTCACTGTCCAATGTGAAGTGGGTCTAATGGAGCTCCTAACTGTTCTTATTTCTTTGCTCACTAAAAACATCAAGTTTCTGTCCCAAACAACATAATCTTCATCCAAGCTGTGGAACAAATAAACATCTAAACACTGGGAATAAAAGCTAATGTGCTAATCTCATATTCTTGCTTTGATACACTGAAGTGTCATATTATAGCAAAACTAGATATCTTCTTCTTCTTGTTCTTGTTTTTTTATTTGGACTTTCCCCTCTTCAGGGGTCATCACAGCGAGTCATCCTCCTCCTTCTCACTCTGTCCTCACTCCAACTCCCTCCATGTCTTCTCAAACTGCATCCACATGCATTTAGAGGCCTTGATGGCCTTCCGCTTTGTCCTTTCCTGGCAGCTGCATTTCTAATGCCCCTTTTCCATTAGTACCTTCAGTACTGGGACAGCACGGTTCGACTCAGCTCGGTACGTTACGTTGTGTTTCCATACTTTCAGTACCGGTTCTAGTGGACGGGGTTCAAATTGACGTCAGGCGCCTTATCAGCTGGTGGCAGTAATGCTGGTGGTAAGACCCTGAAACAGGTTTCTGTATATATATAAATACAACATTATACTTGTTAATGGACTTTTAATGAACGTTAGTTCACCATTAAATCTCTGATGAACCAGATTCTACAAAAACATCTATATTTAAAATGTTTTAGATTTTCTTCATCGTTTGATGTATTTGCACTCATTGTGTCTACTTTTATTGTTCAGTTTAGATGTGTGGTTTTGTTTCTTGTATACAGATCTATATTTTTTATTTTAGTTTTGCTTTAAAGTTTAATTCTTGTTTTGTGATTTGTACATCTGTGGGTTATAAAAAGTGGAACTAAAGGCTGCATCTCTTCTTTCAACATGTTAGAGGGAAATATTCCTGAGAGATTCAATTATTTTGTGTCTTTTTATGATTTTTTTCAGCTGAGTTAACTTTAACAGATTATTTAATAGTCATTAAAGTGAAAACAGGATTTTATGATAAAGCCGACATCGTTTCTTTCTTTCTTTTATCTTCACTGTAAAAAACTTAAAAAAAACTTGTATAAATACATAAAATGTTTTTAAAAATCGTTTCCACCCTCCATCCCAGACACGTCCCGGTCCGTCCATCTGCAGGGTTAGGCCTCATGAGCATGCGAGGCCGTGGCCCGGACCCCGGCCTCGCATGCTTCTTTCGGGTCAGAAGCACGGATGATCTTCCGTGGTAACCGGCGGAGCTCGGAGCCTGCAGAGCACACAAGGCCAGTCAGAAGCACGGATGATCTTCCATGGTAACCGGCGGAGCTCGGAGCCAGGGAGATGACACCCTGCACCTGCACCCTGAGGAGGCTCCAAGGCTCCGGTGGAAAAGATTGGTGGAGCTCCATCTAGCTTGTTCTGAATTTTATCGTCAGCCACCAAGCACAAAAAAACGCCTGCACTTCAGCTTCACTTCAGCATTAGACCAGTGTTGTCATTATTGTTTTTAAAATCTTTAAAATAAGTCCAGTTGCTCCTCGAATTTGAGTTATTGCAAATGGC